GCCCCGGGCCGCCCTCCCTGCCCCGCCGGGTACAGCCCGCTCGGCCCACACCCCGCCTGCGGCTCTGACCCCGGTCCGTGCTTGGGGCACGGTCAGCACTGGTCAGTCCTTGAGGCCACCGCGAGGACGCGCAGTGACCTCTCGTTCGGATGTCCCGCCTGCAGATGAGGCAGTGTGACCCCCTCCGCTCCCCGCCTCGCCGCCCCCTCGGACGAGTGGGGGTCGCGCTGCCCCTCACGGGCGGCCCGGGCAGTGCACCCCACCTGCGGCGCCCCCCCCCGCCTCCCGTGCAGAAGCCTCGCTGAGCCGCTGGGCGGGGCGGGCCGGCATCACCGTACCCCTCGGCGACACCCCTCTTCCAGGTACGACGAGGAGCTGGCCCAGGGCGACGGGCCCGAGCGGGAGCTGAGGGGCCGGCCGGGCCAGCCGCCGGGGTCCAGGGGGTTCCGATCGCGGGACTCGAGCCGAGCCGTCCTCACCACCTGGAAGTGAGCGGAGTCGCCGCGCCCTGCCCGCCGCCCGCCGCACACCCGTTTTGGAACCTCCTTTTTCTAGTTATTTTTCTCTTCTAGGCCCTGTACATAAATAAAGCGTTTCTTTGGGAGGTCACGGGGTCCGGCCACTTGGTGGGTTCCCGGCGACCAGCCCCCTCCACCCGCCGGGTCTGCGCAGGAGGTGGGGCCGAGGGGCCCCTCGGTGACGCAGGTCGCCCACCTCGCTTCTGCTCAGAGCCGGCTCGGGACCCGGGGACACGACTCCTGCCCCGGAGACGGCCGGTCTGGGGCCGCGCTTGCAGGGAGCGCCGCGTGTCAGGGCGGGGTGACGAGCCAGCAGCCCTTGCCCATGGCGCCCCACTGGGAGGAGATCCCTGCCGGGGGGGAGATGAGCCGCAAGCGTTCAGACCCATCACAGACTCCCACCCCTGCCCGAGGGCGCCCGACCGGGCGCCCCAGGCCCCCCAGCACCCCTCGCCCTACTAGCTCTTGCCCGCACCCTCTCCCCGAGCACCCCTGCTGCCAGGGCCTGCCCCCTTGGCCCGCCCTGCGCCCCCCGTGGGGTGGGCCTGGCAGTCTTGGGGGAGCATGTGCGCATAGGCGGGGGTTCGGGCTGGCCGGGCTTCAGTGCCCAGGGCCACGCGGCCCTCACCGTGAGGTCGGGGCTCGGGCAGCACTGGACAGGCCAGGGCGCCGCGGGGTCAGCGTGCGGTTGTCACTATGAGTTAGGTTCCCCACGCGGCCCCAGGCCACTGAATAAACACTGAGGGCAGAATGAAGTCCAGCACCTAACTTGAGAGTCACGGGAGGCTGCTCTGTCCATGCGGACAGTGGGGACGGGGTGCCCCCAGGTCAGAGGCTGCGCTGGGACCTGCTCCCTTGGGGTGCTGCCTTGGAATAGCAGAGGTGGCGAGCGAGGCTGTGCCAGCAGGGAGATCCCAGCCCACACCCGCGGGCCTAGCTCAGGGACTGAGACTGGACACTTCAGCGTGGCTGGAGTCTGGTGTGGGGACACCTGAAGATGCCAGGAAGCCCGGGGGAGCGACACTGGCAACTGCCGGCGCCAGCCCCGACCCCGGCCCGCGGCAGTGCTTGCTGTGGGGCTGCGGCAAGTCCCTGAGGTAGCCCTCACCTGCCGGGGGAGAGTGTCACCTGTCTTGGAGGACGGGGGTGGGGGGGCCACAATCTAAAAGAGCTCAGGGCCAGGGAACACGGGCGGCTGGTGACCTGGGCCGGCTGGGCCATCTGGGCCGGCTTCCCGGAAGAGGAGCAGCTGCAGCCGTGTCCTAGAGGCGTGGAAACGAAATGGGCCATTCCAGAAAGGTGCTCCGGGGCCGGATGGTGATCTTGGACACAAGGTTCAAGAATTAGAGCCAATTCCCTAGGCGCTAGGGAGCGACTGAACGAGTTTGAGAATTGTTCTGAAGACAGATGGGGCGGGGCAGGAGGAGGGCTGGGGCCAGGAGAGGCCAAGCGAAGGCCAGCAGCCAGCAGCGAGGCGCTGGGGCCCCCGAGCAGCAGGGCAGGCCAGGCTTTGGGCAGGCGTGGGAGGGGCTGGGAGCGCCGGGCGGCTGGGTGGGCGCCTTCGGGGATTGGCTGGGTTGGCGCCTTCGGGGCCGGGCTGGGTGGGCGCCTTCGGGGATTGGCTGGGTGGGCGCCTTCGGGGCC